AATTAATGTACAAATGTTCTTTACATATTGATGTGTGTATGGATTGTGATAAGAGTTGTATGAGCCTCTAATAAAACGATTAAAATAAATAAATAAAGCAAAAAAGAGAAAAAATATTTCAAGATATGTCATGAAGTACAATAATAGTCTATAATAGGATACTATCTATCTTCACGCAAGAAATTCCAGTCAGTACAACTAGCATTTAAATTTATACATCAACCACTAAAGTTAATGATGAAGAAATTTCAGAATTCTGCTGAAGTCTGAAATTAATCAAGCATGCAATTCAGATGCATGGACAATTATTAGCAATTGAAATGCAGAACTTTGAGGCAAGGAGGAATGAACAGTAGTTATAAAGCATGGCCTTCGTAATTCAAACAAAGCTTGGGACCACATGCTAAAATTTTGCAAGAACAACAACTTCATGGCAATTAACTTTTTTCAACAACACAATTGGCGAGCGTACACATGGACATCTCCACATGGAGTATACAGAAATCCAACTACATCTGTGGGAAGAAATGAAAGAGAAGCTCAATATCAGCAGCTAAAATGAGACTAACTATGGCACACACCATAAAGCGCTCACAGGGAACTTAAGGTAGAAGCTAAAGAAAATGAAAAGAAGTCCACACGAGATCCAGAATATGACCTAGCATACAGCTCACCTAAATTTTGAGAACATCACTATGTTGTCTTAATTAATAGTCTCTAATTTGAATATTGAATATTCACACAGAATATTCTACACAGATTTCACAGACAAAATTCATGCTTAAATGGTTTATCAAGGAAGTTAACAAGTTGCCATGCCAATGAGAAATTCTCAGGATGGAATTGTTTATCAGAATATTTTTTTAAATTCTTTCATTTCTGCTAATAAATGCCCCAAACGACTCCACTAGAACACTCTGCCTGAAGGCATTCAGCTCAAGTTCTGTGGGGCAGCAAACATAATTTCCTAAATTAAGTGCCCAGGGTCTCCCACTCCCACAAGGCTCAGCTTGAAGGTCCTCTACTTCTGTGGGTCAGAAAGCCTAACATCCACAATGAAGAACCCAGAGACCCCACTCTGCTGGCCAGGCTTCCATGCAAACACACGCAGATTTCCTTGCCCCCTGGTTCTGCTGTTCTCCTTTGGTGTCATGACTGTCCTCTGGATCCAGGAGCTTCCCGGTGAAGGGAATCTCAGGTCCAGAGAACAAGCTCTACTCCTGACTCTTTCTGGTCAGGAGATCCCTCCTCCTGCTTCTTAGAGGGTTTGTTTTATATGCAGCAGGATGGCACTCCAGGGCATCTTGTTTGCAATCGCTTATAGATGAATGCTATCAGTATTTTCCACATTTTTTTAACCATAGCCATGCAAGGAAATGGCATGTATTAGGGGTTAGGGACTGTGACTAGAAGAGCTACATTAAATGATTCTGCAATCCCAGTACACGCTGGATTCACTGAACACTCGTCACAGAAGAGCCAACGAGCTGTGGAATGACCTCAAGATCATACATGAAGAAAGCAGAAAACTAAAAAAATTCACTGCCATACAGTTATCGCCGATTCATAGCAACCCTCCAGGAGAGGGTAGAACTGGCCCTGTGACTTTGCAAGAATGCAACTCTTTATGAGAGTCCAAAGCCCCATCTTTCTGCCATTGAGCAGCTGGTGGTTTCGAACTGCTGACATTGCAGTCAGCAGCCCAACATACAATCAGCTTATTAAATACACAAGAAAAGAAAGAATCAAAATGGATGCCAGAAGACACTGAAACTTGATCTTAATAATAGAGTAGGTAAGGCACATGTAAGAAATGTTGAAGTCAACGAGCTGAACAGAAAATTTCAAAGGGAAACTGTAGAAGAAAAAAAAGTAAAACAATAATGAAATGTGGAAAGAACTAGAGTTTGAAAACCAAAAAGGAAGAACATATTCAGTTTATTTTTAAAAGTG